ATCGGTCCCACTCGTCGTTCCTAACTCCACTGTGGCCAGACTAGGTCAAAAGAAATGACGGTGATACAGGGCACACAGCGACTGGTCCGACATAAAGTCCTGTAGAATGGAAGGTTTACGAGGGTTCCTACGGGCCAGTCTCTCTCTCTTCCTCATATAAAATGAAAGTTCGAAGGGAGGCGACTTATGCGCGAATTAGTAGACTGGCGCCGCATCTACCACATTCTTTCTTCATTCACTTACCCGTGCCCGGTATCAAGACAACGCCAAGAATATCTGAGGCGGGATTGGGCGCAGGTCGTTGGCGCGGCGTGAGCCTGTATCTACGCGTGCCCCTATGCCTCTCACTCATGTTTGGTATTTTTTTATGAGAGCGAAAACCGAATAACGCCTGTAATGCCCTGATCTGGCCCCCGTGTTAGTCCAGTGCATCTACCACACGGCCCGTTTAGGCGGCACGATAAAAACAAACAGTCAGTGGTCACATACAGTTGCCGTACTTGGTAATATCCCTCAGTCCCTACAGCCAACGCTATACCGAATCACCAGCTTCGCATCAACCGTTGGACTGACGATTAATATCCGCAAGACGAAGTTCCTAACTACTCATCTTGGCACAGCACAGCTACTGTCTATCAGTGGGCAACCCAATGAAGAAGTTAGCTGCTTCCGCTATTTGGGCTCGACGATACTAGCTAATGGACAGACCAGGGAAGGAATCAGGAACCGAGTCACGCATACTGTAAATGCAGCTAGGCTGCCGGCCAAACCATTCTGGGTTCGTTCAGACATCAGCTTACGTGCTAAGCTGTTAATATACAGAGCATCCATCAGACCGGTGTTAGTGTATGCCTGTGAAACATGGCCAGTCAGAAAGGCAGACATTATATCGCTGGAAGTCTTCGACCGTTGGTGTCTTTTAGGCCTCTTAAGAGCCCTCTGGCACGATCGAATTTCCTATGTAGAGCTTTATCGCAGGTGCTTCAAACTACCCAGCCTACCATCATACAGCTAGCATCGCCGATTGCAATGGTTTGGCCACGTCCTGCGCAAACCATCGACGCGCCTCTGAAGATTGGTCGTAAACCCCTCTCGTAATGCAAACTGGAGATACCGACATGGCTCAACACTGTCAAGTCGGGCGTCGAACGCATGGGCCTCGTAAACGTTTACGGCTTGCGGCAATGGAACAAACACTGGATTAACATCTGTGCGGAGCTCGCTTCCGAGCGCCGCCAATGGGCCGCCGCTATCCGTGACATCTGTGAAGCCAATCGGATCAAGTACAAGTACGCAGTTACTGGCGAAAAAACGCAAGGTTTGGGATGTGCAGATGAAGGACAGTTTTGGTGTAGCAGACGTGCAGGTATGGAAAGAAGGGGTCCGAGTACTAAAGAATCAGTCCGCTCAGGGGTGACGATACTTTTGTAACTACGAGTAATACAATCAACGCAGGCATACGGACCGTCAGAACAAAGTAGCTAGAATTTATCTACAAGCTTGCAAACTCGAGTGATTGACAAAAAAGAACTAACCTCGAGGCGGTTGATAATTTCGCGGAGAGGAAGTTCGGTCTGGTCGCCACCAATGTATGTTGTACGAGGCAAGCGGAACACCTTGTTCATGTCAGGAATACCTGTGATAAAAGAGAGGTGGTGAGATGTAGGTATAAGCATAGCTGTGAGGAATGTTAGTACA